TTGGTGTGTGACAGGAGCTGACAACATCTGATAAGATTCGATAAGGGGACTTTAGACGCGGAGGGTCACCCAATTCCTAATATCGGCTGCAGTGAATTGAGACCATGGTTCCGAGATGGTATACCAGGAGGGACGGGGTGGGTGACAGAATCTAATAACATATGATAAGATTTGATAAGGGACCTCAGATGCGGAGAGTCACCAAATTCGTAGGGCGGGTTGCAGGGTCTGTGGGACCTTGGCTTCAAAAAGTGGTATAGGGGGAGGGGCGGACACCCACTGAACGGGTGACACGAAGTGACTGATAAGAGTTGAAAGTCATCATGCGGAAATCCGCAACACCGCTTACAACCACAATGCGATTGATATGACCCAGGTATCAGGCTCTCAGTAGTTCGCACAACTCACTCCTATGCTTTATCGTTATTGACATCATGTACGGCCGCTAAAGCAACTGGAGTTCAGATGCATGACGGTTGTTTACTCAGTTGCCATGAACAGCAGCAACTAACTTTATCACTATGACCATGACTATCTTCCATCAACAACCCGAGAGAGGACCATTCGAAGCGCTAGACTGCCGAATGCGGGAGGGCATTCCAGAAAAAACCCTACAGTGGTGGAGAACGGTAGGATGCTTCGAAGGCTGCTCTTACAAGCTGCTGAATTTTCGTGTGAGGGTTATGAAGATTTTGGTACTAACCCCGAGAAAAGAATGGACAAAAGGATAGATTTCAGCGTTACATTAGGACAATGGGCACAGGATGTAATAGGGGACAACACGGAAGTATCCTACTATATATAACGAGCGCGGGGGCAATACAGATTTATGTATTGTGTGGGCATTATGGTGCGGAGCACACCCCTGCCTCCCTCTTCCTTCCTTTTTTGTTCTTCCTTCTCCTTTTTCCTTCTCTCTCCCCTCTTCCTTTTCCTTCTCACTTCCACTGCTGAGTCAGTAGTGTGACGAGAAAACGATTACGTGACATCTTGAACTTTTGTGCATGGTCCTGTTACGAAACCCTGTGACGCAGACGGATAGAGGGCAGCGGCTGCCAAAGCATCGAAACGTGCAAAAAACGTATGGCGAGCCAGGAAACGGGATTTTTCAAGGGGAGGGGACTCCGGGGTGGGTGAGCTACTTATAGTCGGTGAAAAGCTGGAGTGAGCGAAGTCACAACGGCCATAGAGTGCCATGCGGACGAGAGAGTGCAGAAAGAGAAGATCGACGCGTTCAAAGGGACTGAGTTCAAGCTGTCCGTAGACCGAAGAAACACCACTGGACTCTCGTAGCGAGAGTATGTCGTTGTATGAGTTTTGAACCCAGCTGCGTTGCTGCAACTCATGGATGGCATGAGAATGCTGCCTTAGCAGCGCTTCAATCCACGCCCCCCCCCCATACGCCCTATCGCTTTCAGAGATCATGACTGTAGTTAGTGTACCGGTGCAAGTTCGGGCCGCAGAAGCTTCAATCACGGCCCATCTACAGATTCCGGAGCGAAAATGACTGCTTTTCAAGCTTACTCCCAAGTTTCGCGCACAGGAGGTGAGACAACTTTTTAATATTGCTGGTCAGTTCTAAAAGTATGCGGGGAAACGGAACGTCAATGGTATCTTTATCAAGTTCTGTTCGCGTCACTGTTTTATTGTAGTATCTCCTAGCATTGAAATATATCTCAAAAATAGAGAAGGGCGTTGTTGCCGACGTGTCAACAGAAATCACTGCATTACCAACGGCATATTTCTGGAGAAATCCTTTATTACTCACTCCCTAGAGCAAGGGCTCTCCTGTATTCAAGGCGCAACTTAGCCTCAGGAGCATATTTTTTATCGTCCTTATCTAAATCAAGGATCTATTTCGTGAATAATAATTGCTTTGGAATCATTCAGGAGATTAGACTGCGCAAAAATAATAAAAGAGCTGTTGGTGCGTTTGGAAAACTTACAGTTGTGTTACATTTGATCTTTTATTTTTGTTTTCTAGATGCGTTCCGAGTGCAGATCCTTACTGGGATTCAGAAACAAAACTATCGATTCTCTTTTGGTTAGGGAAGAAGAGAACGAAACTGATAACGAATGAAAAGAGGTCAAAACTCGAATGGAATAGGTGAACGAAGAGAATTGACCCAAAACTCGAAAACAAAAACTCAGTCAAGAACGCGAATCTTAAAAAACCACTGCTGTAGCCTGGACTCTTTATCATACCGATGCACCATAAGTGGTTCCGTAGTAGATATGTTCGTCACGAAGAAGGATATAATGTTTATGTAGTAATGCGAACTCGTCAGACAGATAACACCTCAAACTTAGGTAATTAAACATATGGTAAGGAACTCAAACTGGGTAAGCAACAGAAATCAAACGAAAGATAGTTCGATAGAAGTTTAGGAACATAGAAATGGAGGAATATTCCCAGAAGAAAATAGAAACACAGGAACGTGAGTTTATCTGGCGACCCTTGTATAGCGCGTGGGGTCGAAGGTCTTTCGACAGGAAGGTGAATCGTAGGGGATCGCTCCAACGATTTTCGCTGAGCTGGTAACC